GACGATATTATTGGGAATCACATTTTGGTGGATCATGGGATTCCAGGATTTAAGATTCATTGGGAAGGTGTTGTGTATAAGAAATTAATTTTAGGAGTTGCACGTGGGTGGTTTGGAAACCTTTCAATGTAAGGAAAAGATATTTTGGAAAAGAGGTGAGATTTCTTTTAAAAGATGTGGTTTTGGATTTGCCTCTCTGTGGTGATGTACCTTTTCTTGTGTCCTTCTTTGAGAAGTCGATTGCCGGAGGGGGAATTGTTTCCAGGGACCCCCCATTCCGGCTACCCAGATGGATAGTCGAAGAGTTTTTCTTTTTTGTACTACCACATTCATTTTCCTACTTGGGAGAAAAAATAACTTTGTATGGCAAGCAGGAGCTTTTTTACCCAGCACCAGGGGCTGAATTTTTCAATTTTTTTTGTCAAAAGTCCAAAGCACATATTTGTATTTTCATGTAAAAGAAAAACAAAAAAAGGGAGTTAAATTGACGGGCCACTGGAGGCAAGGGCCGAGGCTTTCTCATGTATTTCTTAACGTAAAGTATGTAACTTTCAAAAATACCTTTTTTTTCGCCTGGAGTGGGTAATTTGGGCTGGTACACTGTTAGGGACGGCTGGGCTTACAAATGTTGTGATTAACGTTCCTCACGGACAGGCTTAGTTGATTGCAATGGGGTAGTCAGAAAAAAACTGGGGGATTTTGGGTGTTACAGGGGCAGGGGAGGTATCTTTGAGGCTGAATTGTTTCTGCGAAAACAAACCCTCTATTTAAAAAATTTGCTTTGGTTTTGGGCTCCGGTAAGGGCTACCACCTATAACGGGGGGCTTAGTTTTTGATTAACAGACACGGGGTTAATTTCCCATCCGAAAACACTTCATAATTGTAAATCTGTAAAGGAACCAGAAACAAAGGGGACACTTTGTTCTTGAGGGACATAAATGGGAACAAGTCACGCCAAGGCTGTGCTACTTATGGCCATAACTTGCTTTGAAGGAGGGGAAATGGGAAGGAAGGGAAAAATTGAGGGCAGTAAAACTGCAAGATAAATTGCCATGTAAAAGGCGAGAGGTCTGAGTAAGTAAAAAGAAAGACAGTTTAAAATGGAGGGTTTGGGGATGGGTAGAAAACTTACATTTGTCCCACTTTTAGATACCATGGTTAACCTATCCCCTCTTGGAACCAACCTTGTTGGGGGATTGGGACTCAAGCAGGGGAGAAAGGGGAGCCATCTTTTTTGGGCCCCAATCCCAACCGTTTGATTCCAAAAGGGCCAGTGGGTTGTCCCAATGTGTACGGGGCCTCACGCAGGGGATGCTACATGGTTCCCCTGCTGGATTTCACTGTCATTAAAGGCAGGCTTGCTATGGAGGGGACGATAGGTGCACAGGGTTTACTTTTGGAACCAGGGAACGTTTTCTTTTTGTTGTGGCCATCTGAACAGGGGTATTTGGGGGGCTTTCCATAAAACTGTGTTTTCCCAAGGCCCTTTTTTACTGGCACTTCTTTGCGCTTTTCATCGGTGGATTCATGGTAAAAAACATATTTCATTTCTCTAAACGGGACGAGAGTGTGTTAGGATTTAATGGCATCCCTGGTGGTTTTACGAATATTGCAAAACTAAAACTTGAACCCACTGCTCGTGTCTGTTTCTGGAAGCAACCTTGGGAACATGAAGGAAACGGGCTTTTGGCGAACGGTTGTAGAAACTACGGGTGGCAAAGCAAAAAACAGAGAAAACAAAAAAAGACAAAAAGAAAAGAAAAAAAAACAAAAAAAAAAGGTGGTGGTAGAACAGGGGGGCCCCCCGATTTTAAACAGGGTTCAGTGGGGGTTTGTTGTTTCCCTTCTTGGGGTTGCTCTAGGAAAGTTCCAAAAACATGGGTTTTAACCTAGTGTGAACGTTACCCAATGGTTTTGTGGAGTTACCGTTTGAAGGGCCTCGGTTTCTGCGGGGGGTTTGGTGGACCAGGGCGATCTTGTTTTTAACCCTGCTTCCTATCCATTTGTATTCTTTACTTAAAAATTGGACCCATTTCATTTTAATTGAAAAACCATCATGGCTTTGTATGAAGGGAAAAGGACTGAAACTTTAAGAGATTTGAGGCGAACCAAAATAACTGTTTACTGAGCTAAATCAAGTCAGAAGTCGGTTCATTTATCCATTAAAGTGAATGGGATCGTGTTTTATTGCAGCCAATGGAGCTCCCCCTGCTGGCCTTTACATAGAATGCAGGTTTAAGACCCTTCTGCACTGGCTTGTTAATGATAATCCATTCCTGCCAATAGATCCTCCTAAATGTTACACAATGGCCCTAAACATGTTGGCGTTGTCATGGTGAGCATGTTAGCATGCTGACATTAGCATTTAGCTTGAAGCACTGCTATATGATACATCATCACAGAGCTTCTAGCAAAGCTGTAGACTCTCATGCTGCATTCATGCCAGTTCCACATTATAGCCCATATGCTGTTCATGTTAACATCCAATTACAACTGGGAAACTCAAACGTTTCTCAAAGCTCCGATATATCCGACTTGGCGCTGTAGTGCCCTAAAACTAAGCAGACATAGGCAACTCACTTCAGTCAAAGTCTGTCCAATGTATTTTAAGACATATTTAACTGTATTATATTGGCAATGCATATTTTTAATTCTCATAAGACCAACTTTTTAATACACAACCGTCTTGATTTTTCAGATAGCGCGAATGTCATATTAGCTGAAACCTTCACTATACCCTGAAAGTAATAGAGATATTCTGTGAAAAGAAAAAAAAAAGAAAAGATTCAGGTTCCTAGCGCTTGTAATGCCATTTTCTGTCTGAATGAAAACAAACAGTCAGAGCAGAGAAAGATTAAGGTTAAGTTAATTGAGTCTCATTCCTAAGTTGTCAAATACCAAAACATTAAATTAGTTTTATAGGTCATCATGACACAGTAGTCTGTTCTTCATATCATACGTCACAAAGTTATCTTCAGTGGAAATTGAAAATAGTGTGACCCAGTTACCTAGCTAGCACACTGGCCCAGTCAGTGTACAGTATTACAGTGAATTCACAAAGTATTAACTAAAGTCACAAAAATACAAAACATCAGATTAGTGTGAACTGTTTATTTCTCTCTTAAATACATTCAAGTTGACACACTTATTTCCTGAGGCCTTTTGTATTTTAGCTGTTTTTCCTCAGAAACTCAAATTCTGATTTGCATATTTCAAAGCATATCAAGTTGTAAATACTCTGTTAAAAACCCTTGGCTAGGTCTGTAAAAATCAGTTACTAAATGTGAAAAAAGTAACCTTATGAAACAATAGGCTGACAAACACAACAGGACCTAGGAGTGAGACAGAGAGCAACAGACACAAATGTAAATGCAACATAAAAGAAGCCATTCTGTAACATTGCCATTAACCTTAAGGTAGACAAGGCACTTTGGTGCCACCAGTAAAGCCTTATTTTGTTTTATAAAACCTCCCAGATTGACAGAGGTGTAACAATAGAATTTCATTCATTCATTTCTATCAGGTGATTTCATCAAGTAAACAGGCAAACTGAACCATGGTCAACTCTGTAAAAAAGTATACAATACAGTCAGGTAGAGAACATACTATTTAAATAAAATATGACTGTTCTCCACCATATTAACTTAAATACTTAGTAAAGCATTGATCTATAGGCATTTTTCTTGGACAATCAGTGCAGCCATTAAGACATTCATTTCCAGGGGAATTCCCAGGGGATACTTAGTTTCTGAATAAATAAAAACATATGTTAGAGAACACAATTGTCAGAAAGTTTTGAACAACATCAGAGTCACGATCTGAAACAATCAACCTGTCTCAGCCTGTAAGCTAATTTTTCTTATCAAGTAAAAATCAGTCTTTGTACATACGGAATACAAGACAGCAAACACTTTCTGTAATTAAATACTTCACTATCAACACTCCATGAGGAGCTGAAGGAAAATAAATCACTTTAAGACAGACAAAAACATGTGAATTGAAGCTGTCTGTGTCTGTGCAAGGTCAAGCAGGCATGTAGTTAAGCCAGGTTTGACGACACACGACCCTACATTTCCCCATCAGAGCTGTACGGTACAGTGAGATGCTCTCACTGAAGCGGGAGCAGCAGCTTCAGTAAAATATGCACTTTGTAAACGTACAAGTGAGGGGTTTCATTTTATCACTGACACCTGTGGGTGGTAGCCTTGTGCATTGCTACTCCAAATAGTCTTGACGAAGCAGAAGCACCAAGGACCTCAAACAGCACCCATGCTTTCTCTTTTATGAGATTGGTAGCCTTATGAGTTGCGAATGCGACCACCACTGGATGATGCACAAGATGACTCCATTAAGGACCTGACACCATAAGTGATATTTATGAGACTAATGGCAGTACTCATGCTTTCTCCATTATCATATATAGCAAAGGACCACTATGGACAGTAGCCTTGTGCCATTCTAGCCCAAGCAGTATTGGATTGTGCATAGGCTTTCAAGAACCTCACATTAAGTGGTATTGTCGGAACTATAGGTTTTCAGAGGGGGTTCTGAATACAGTTCACCTCTCATTACTCCTCGCAGAGGTAATGACCATAGTGAATAGCATTCTCCTTGATAATCTCTGCTGTTCGCCTTTGATTCAGTTCAAGTAATACTTTCAGCAGGTCATTTAAGCTGGCTCCTTTGCCCTCTTTCTCCACCCAAATATTCAGCAATTCATGGACCCTGTCGTCATAAAGGAGTAGTTCTTTGCTCTTGATCACGTTGTCGTTAATGCCAAGGTTACGGAAGAACCTCTTGTGGTAGTTGACGTCTATTTCCTCAAAAAACGTAAAGCATTTCCTCAGAGATTCTTCACCTGCAAACAAAGATAAAGACCTTGGTCACCACTGTAGTAATAACATTTATTATGAACATCTCAAACATGTACATAAGTACACCAGACTGAGGCTGAGGCTGCCCATGTGCATCTGAGTGACATAAGGATGGCTCTAACATTTGAGAGAAGGAATGAAAATAAAAACACTTTACCATTCACAGGAACAAGCCTGGGGAAAGGTTCATCTTCCTGTATGACATAGGAGACAAAACAACCATTAATATCTAAAGACGTCTCTTAAAACTCTTCATGATTCATAAACTAACTCCTCTCTTATTCAGTTACTTGGCATGTCCCAAAATACCAGGCACACTTGCTCGTCAGGCTCCAGTGAAATGAATTGAGAAATCCTTTGTTTGCTAAAGAGATTTCTAATAATTCAATGTTGTAATTCAGGTTTGAATGGAAAGAAGACAGACTAATAAGATATCTCTCTTCATGTTAATCTGCAACTAACAGGTACAACAAGGAACATGTGACTCATCAACTTCTGCTTCCAACATCAGCTCTGAACAACACAATATACAGTCAGCCGGCAACTGTGTCACAACAGATAAAGATAGTGAATAAGACATGTTTCCCAATACACTAATGACTCACTGGTTGATCAACAACTATAACCACTGTTACAGCCGACAGTGCAAAGTTCAATTTTAATTGTAAAGCTAATTATAAAGCGCTGAAGGGATGACGTTTTCTTGTAGGCCAACCCAGAAATTAAATGGCACTTTGCCATTGCATTTTAGATTATCACAGAAAATAAGCTCTGTGGCGAACAAAGGTTTATGATGTTTGATGTTTTCACAAGGCAGCAGTATTGAAGAGTTGTCATGCACTTTGTCAAGTAGGAATCAAAGTGGGGAAACTGGAGGAGGAGTAGTCAGGACCAGTAGTCAGGACCAGTGTAACCAGACAGCTGAGGGCATCGGCCTTTAAAGCAGCAAAGCGTTAGAAACTAACAATAGAGTAAGCAGGTGAGAAGGAAAGAAGCAAGGATGGAAGCAAAGATTGAAGCAGGGGTGGAAATGAGCTGTTGCTCTCACCCTCCAGTTGGACTGTTGGGGGACCACGGGGCAGGCTCGGGGGGCAGATGCGGGGACGACATAGACGGGCAGGCCGGTTAGACTGTGCTGGGAGTTACTGGATGAGCTGCTGAGGCTTTCACACAGCATTTTGTGCTCATCCTCCACATGAGCGGAGGATTTGGCTCTCACCGGTTGCCGGGATAGGATCAGACTTGAGCTCAGCTGTCGGGGTTCTCCGTTCCTCCCTGTCTCAGTGGGATAGTTGTCACTGTAATGCTGGAGAGAATGAGAACATGTTCTTACATGTCCTTCTGAAGAGAGAATCCTCCTAAAAAAACTGCATTTTTCTCAGTCTACTGTACATTAGGTACAGGCTGTTGTATTCATCTTCATTCTTTGAATAAAATCTAGCCATATGTTGTGAAATCTTGCAATCGGCTTATTCTACTATTATTATTGACTCACCGTTCCCGCCTTCAGCCCACCAGGTAGATCGCTCTGAGAATCTGCAGAAGGATGTGAGGACAGGATTATGCAACTTTAAGAAATTCCCCAAACTTCCAAAGTAGCTATTTGGCAGCACTTGTGTGTGAGTGTGACTTGAATTTACGTTAATACGTAAACCAACAGTGAATACCAACGGGCTGCTGCTCTCTTTTTGTGTTCTAACACTCATTGCAGCAGCTCAGAGCCGACTGATCCAGTGCCAGTTTGTGCTGGATTGTGTGGAGTTTACCCACAGCAGCTTAACGGTAGATAATGGATCGGTACTTTACTGCACTTGCCAAGAACTGGAGAAGTCCAGTTTGGTTGACAACAACATACACCCTTACAGGAAGTGCTTTAACATGTTTCTTATGCAAGCCCACCTGATATTTACCTTTATCCTACTACACTGTATTCCACCATCGTCAGCAGGAAGTGTTAGCACATCCTCTGCAATAGTGCCTGTTGCTGTATGATCAGCAGCTGAGGCAATCACTGTCATAGCTGCCATCTGCACTCCAGTTCAGCAGGTTTCCTAACCCACACTGCTACACAAACATGTGGTATGATGGCAAGGCTGAGTGCAGCACAGCCCATGTACGTCAAAGACAAAGCCAGCTGTGTCATCACTGTTGACGTTTAATCATCACCCATTCAGTACAGTACTTCTGTGTTCTACACCCTGTACCTTACAGGTATGAGCAGTCTAAACTGTGGTTATTCAAGGACACACTTTTGAAAGGGAAAACCTCTAAAAGGTTGTTCATTGTTGTGTTTAACTAAACCATGCTAGCACTGTTAGCATGGAGCATTTTTAATAGCTTAATCTATGGGTGTCAGATGTAAATGGGAAGCCTGAGCTTGACAACATGGTGTATGCCCACGTTCAACAACCAAATTTGGCTATGTTATGTCTCTGGAAGCACATGCTACATAAAACATGCCAACTGATTGTACTGATGTATTAGAGAGTAATTCACAGCCCTGACGCAGATGAAGACCTTTCAAAGCAGTAACAAGTACCGCAGGTGTTCATCACTACAGATATGAGACCAAACAATAAGAAACGTTAGAGAACGGTGTTAAAAAGTGATCTTAACATGTGCATAGTTTCTAAAATCTAACATATAAAAATAAATTGGCTGATGAATCAGACTTTAAGTGTTTAAGTCATTTTTCAAGTTAAAATGCCAAATGTTCCCCAGTTCCAGCTTCTCAACTGTGAATATTTGCTGCTTTTATTATAGGTTTTGGACTTTTGCTTGGGGAAAAAAAGCAATTTCATGACATCACTTTGGGAGTTATTAAATTGCAATGGGCTTTTTATTTTCTTTGTATTTTCTGACATTTTAGAGACTTCATGATTAACCAGGAAAATAACTGATCAATTAAAAGACAATGAAAATAATCATTAGTTGTAGCCCTAGAGCTACCTTACTTAACCCCCATGTGCAATCCAGTTTTGGTTGGTAAGAATCAGACGAGACATCACGATACAGGGGAAACGTTCGACTGTGTCCTGCAGTTTCTTTGTGGTTCCAACTGAACAGCTTTTATTGATGATGTATCAGTACCCACAAAGATGGACTGGTACTTTGCAGTGTAGAGACTCTGCACTTGGGATAGAATACTAGATCGTTTTAATTAAAGATCAGAGGACACTGATCACACCTGTGTTGTGTCACACTGCATGTTATAATTTACTTTTCATAAATCTAATCCTTTGCAAAGTCTCTCAAGTTTCTTAATGTTCTGGTCATTGTATGCCGATTGTGGCCAAAGGTGTTTTTAAAACCTAAAAGTTTCTCATACTTCCAAAACATACATAATACACATATACATATAAATACACATATACATATAAATACACATAATATATATATACACATATATATATATATACACATATATATATATATATACCACCATTTATAACTATAGTAATATATACATTAAATATATATATATATACATATATATATATTATATACACATATATATAGTATCTATATATATATATATATATATATACTATATATATAACATAGTAATATATATATATGTATATATATATAGTAATATTATATTATATATATATATATATATACTATATATATATTATACATATATAATATAGTATGTATATATAAACATATATACCATAACTATACTATATATACATATATACATATATATAAATATATTAATATAACATATATATACATACAGTAGTACATATATATACATATATATACATAATATATATATATATAACCAGCGCCGTAACAGGTCAGTGGGATAAGCACTCCCTGAAAATCTTGTGGGACTAAAAGGTGAATGATTCCTCTGTATTACACAAAAAGGAATTTCACCACCCCCCATCCTCCCTTTATTATACCCCCCGAGACTTCGATCCATATCCTAGCGGAATATCGTCACCAATAGGCTGCCAGTGAGGAGACATTACCCCCCCCCTTTTCGTCGCTTGTTGGCAATTCTAATATCTAGATGAGTGGCGGAGGACAGATATGAGGTTGGGGAGGCGAACAAGGCGGAGGTGCGAATCTGTTAGGTTCTTTACTTCTATGCCCTTTCATTAACCCCGCTATATACCTAACTCGCCTGTCCGGTATGTAATAAGGCCCATATTAGAACCAAAAAGTCTATTTGTTTCACCTGGTATTTACAGATACCATATCTTGTGTTGCTAGCAATATCCTGTCAAGACTTGTTTCTGATTCGATTTCTATTATTGGTAACTTTATGTGCCCTCGTTAAAGAGTTCTTTATTCTCTCTTTCCACCTACCTGTTGCCTCTACGACACCTCCTTGAACACGAAAATGGCCCACAATTGCAACAACCACAAGCAACCACAG